TGTTTCCTATTATTGAATATTTATTGTGCTTTCACTTAAAGTAAACTTGACTTTATTTATTCTTTTTTAAATGGGATTTTTTTATTTGTCACTATTAAAAAAATCAGAATTTCAAACAGATTCTTGGACTGGTGGTTCATATCCATCAGCTCGTTCAACTTTAGCACCTGTTTCATCCCCAGTAGCTTTTCCAGAACTACTACCTTCACCATGAAGCTCCATGAGTTTTCCCAATTCAAACTTGGGCTTCTTTGGCATTTTTACTTTTGTAATAAAGACATCATGAAATGGATAAATAGACTGGCAAGCCTTTTCTGTGTCTTTTCCAATGCTGTCTGGAATCAGTTTATAGAACACTTCTTTCAAGTCATTGATCTATTTCTCATGGGTCATGATTTCCATCATCTTTTTCCGGATTTGGCAGACCTGTTGTTGCTGAGCATAAAAAGTCTTCCGTATCTGATTGCTGTGCTTTTTAGTAAAACCAATACAGAAAAGACAAAGCAAATAATCATCGGTAGTCTTGACATCAACATGCGCTTCAATCGTGGTCTGCCATTTTTTGACCATGGAACACATTTTGTCATGAGTAAGATTCATGCCACGGAAGTTAGTCAGGCAGTTTTTGCCCTGAACATCCTCAGTAATTAGCTTGAATTTTCTAAATGCAACTTCATCATTCTGCAGATTAGTAAGGCTCACTTCAAACACACGACCTTTGAGGCCATCAGATGCAATTTTGGTTCCTTGAGTCCTGGTGACTAGTGTTTTTCCAATATTTCTTATATTGAACATAGCAGGCACTTTCACATCATACCAATCTTCCTTAGAAAATGGATCAACCACTTTCTTCCTGGCTCCCTTTTTGCCACCTTTTGTAAGGTGCTTGTTCTTACCAACCGCCAAGGTGTTGCTCAGAGAGCCAAAAGGCAAATTTGACTTTAAAAAGAAGAAAGTTTTGTTGCTATTGGTTTCCTTTTGTAAATAAATATTTACCCAAAGCATAAAATTTCTCTTTGAACTATAGAGGCTTCAGATGAGAGAAATCCTCTAAGTCACAGCATATTTTTGTAGTACAATTACCAATTCAAATGTCATTATAAAATATGTATTGTAATAATCATTTAAAAATAAATATGTAAATAAGTAAAATAATATATGCAAATGAATGCACATGAATACATGTATACGTGTTTTGTCAAGGTGTGTGGGACATGTCTTAAAAGATTCAAACTTTACTAAAATTGCTTACTTTTAGAGCAAGTAAATCTGTAGCCATTTTCTAAGACAAAATTTGATTGTCTGACATGATTCTTTCTGTGATGAATTAAATTTGGTTATCTAGGCAAAAATCTGAAAAAGACAGTAGGATGCTATACACAAGACACTATATTTACAACGTGGTTACTCAAATATTTATTAAATTTATTAAACAAAAATAATTACCAATCACTGAGATGTAGCCCATGTTAAAAATTTGTGTTCTCTTTAACTCAGCAAGTAATTTCTAGAAAATTATCCAATGAATGTTTGCAAAGCTTCAGTGGTAATGCTGTTTATCTCAACCTGATTATAGAAGCAAAAATTGGAAACATAAGTGTACAAAAATAGAGGCTTAGTTAGATATTATGCTGTAAAAGATAATGTTCACAATACCATATCAAGCAAATATAGGTTACATATGTATCCTTTGTCCAGTTTGATTCTTATTTGTAATTCTTGGGACTGATGCACTCAGTATCCATCTAGTTTCTAAATATAAAGGATCATACATATATGTCTATGCATATATATCCATGTATATTTATGTGTAAGCTTATGCATTTATATATGTATTTTATACATATATATTCTATACATATATGCATATTCTATACATATATTCTATGCATATATTTGAAAGTGATGTAAATTGTTTAATATTGTAAATGTTTCTCAACAAAAAATGAAAATGCTACTAATAATGTGAAAATTCATGAATACTTTTGGAAGCACAAATTGGAGCACAGAGAGAAGCAGGAAAGTGTGTGGTTGGTACCACTGAGAAATGGTGCTTTGTTAGTCTAGGAACTTGTGGTCTTCATGCTGTCTGAGAAAAATTAATTTATTTACTTGCTTATTTTGTCTGAGTGCTTTCACTGATTAAAACCTG